AATTCGATCTGGAAATTTCAGATGAAGATGCAGAGAAGATTACGACCGTAGGTGAAGTTGTAAATTACATACAATCTCATACCTAAGTCATCTAAAAGTCCCGTACCTCCTTTTTAGCAGGCGGGACTTCTCCTCATTTTTATCGCTTTTTTAAAGGTAATAGAATAATCTGCACTATAATAATGACGACAATATTGCACATGACGTCTATACGAGGTGAAAACGAGATGGCTAGATCGTGCGCGAAATTCTGTGTTCATTCAGGTCAAATAGCCAACTCGCGCAATTACGCATTTAGAGTATGTCTTTACCGAAAAGAGAAATTGCCGACAAGAAGCATGAATCTCCAGACTGTGGCAGCTGGCTGTGCACTTAGCCCATCTACACTTTCTTCAATGTGGACTATGTGAAGGTGCTCACTTCAGTCTATTATTGGCTATGTATGCATTGCCCTCCATCGCAGACGTGGATTTGTGCTGTGGTGATCAAAAGGACAAGGACGTGGGTGAAGAGAAGCACGAAGCCAGTATGCACGACCACCCCGTATGTCCAAAGTGTATAACGCTTGTAAATGAGCGTGGTGGAAATGTTGGAAGGTTTTGAAGGGAGCGTAGTGGTTAGTGCGAGGCGGCGTGCGTGGCGTATGTGGCTGTAGGTGTTCTGTGCAGTTGTGTTCATGGGTGTGTCTGATTTTGTGGTGGGAGCTATGTTTTTGTCGTCAGTGTGCCCGAGCGGTCTAAGGGGGTAGACTCAAGTTCTACTGTGTTCGCACTCGTGGGTTCAAATCCCACCGCTGACATACGTACTCCATTTCGTGTGGCCTCTCTCGCCACTGCTCTTGTCCTTGTTGCCGGGGTGGCGAATGTTTGTCAGTGTTTCTTCGCATTAGACACTCCCTTTTTTGCGTATGCTAGTCATTGGCTGCACCGTGTCGTCCCCCTAGCTGCACCACAGAAAGTCAGCGCGTGATAACCAAAAAACGTCGTGGAACAGAGGGCAAGGCTCAATAACAGGTAGTTCGAGCCGCGAAACGTGTTATCAGCTAAAGTGCTCTGATCCGATTCCATACGGTCCTCTTCTTGCACGTAGTCTGCAACTCTTTAAAAAGGGTGCTTCTATCAATAGCTACTCAGCCTGACCACACCGTGTTCTTTATTCGGATTAAGAGGCGGTAATGCTTTCGTCGCCAGTCCGATTGCCCAGTAGACATCACCGAAAGCATCAGATGTGGGATAAACGAGATGGCTAGATCGTGCGCGAAATTCTGTGTTCATTCAGGTCAAATAGCCAACTCGCGCAATTACGCATTTAGAGTATGTCTTTACCGAAAAGAGAAATTGCCGACAAGAAGCATGAATCTCCAGACTGTGGCAGCTGGCTGTGCACTTAGCCCATCTACACTTTCTTCAATGTGGACTATGTGAAGGTGCTCACTTCAGTCTATTATTGGCTATGTATGCATTGCCCTCCATCGCAGACGTGGATTTGTGCTGTGGTGATCAAAAGGACAAGGACGTGGGTGAAGAGAAGCACGAAGCCAGTATGCACGACCACCCCGTATGTCCGGAGTGTCTAACGCTTGTAAATGAGCGTGGTGGGACGGCTGAAAGGTTTTGAAGGGGGCGTAGTGGTTAGTGCGAGGCGGCGTGCGTGGCGTATGTGGCTGTAGGTGTTCTGTGCAGTTGTGTTCATGGGTGTGTCTGATTTTGTGGTGGGAGCTATGTTTTTGTCGTCAGTGTGCCCGAGCGGTCTAAGGGGGTAGACTCAAGTTCTACTGTGTTCGCACTCGTGGGTTCAAATCCCACCGCTGACATACGTACTCCATTTCGTGTGGCCTCTCTCGCCACTGCTCTTGTCCTTGTTGCCGGGGTGGCGAATGTTTGTCAGTGTTTCTTCGCATTAGACACTCCCTTTTTTGCGTATGCTAGTCATTGGCTGCACCGTGTCGTCCCCCTAGCTGCACCACAGAAAGTCAGCGCGTGATAAACAAATAACGTCGTGGAACAGAGGGCAAGGCTCAATAACAGGCAGTTCGAGCCGCGAATCGTGTTATCAGCTAAAGTGCTCTGATCCGATTCCATACGGTCCTCTTCTTGCACGTAGTCTGCAACTCTTTAAAAGGGTGCTTCTATCAATAGCTTCTCAGCCTGACCACACCGTGTTCTTTATTCGGATTAAGAGGCGGTAATGTTTTTGTCGCCAGTCCGATTGCCAGTAGACATCACCGAAAGCAGCAGATGTGGGATAAAAAAGATGGCTAGATCATGCGCGAAATTCTGTGTTGGGTCAGGTCAGAGCCAACTCGCACAATTACGCCATAGGCGTATGTCTTTACCGAAAAGAGAAATTGCCGACAAGAAGCATGAATCTCCAGACTGTGGCAGCTGGCTGTGCACTTAGACCATCTACACTTTCTTCAATGTGGACTATGTGAAGGTGCTCACTTCAGTCTATTATTGGCTATGTATGCGTTGCCCTCCATCGCAGACGTGGATTTGTGCTGTGGTGATCAAAAGGACAAGGACGTGGGTGAAGAGAAGCACGAAGCCAGTATGCACGACCACCCCGTATGTCCGGAGTGTCTAACGCTTGTAAATGAGCGTGGTGGGACGGCTGAAAGGTTTTGAAGGGGGCGTAGTGGTTAGTGCGAGGCGGCGTGCGTGGCGTATGTGGCTGTAGGTGTTCTGTGCAGTTGTGTTCATGGGTGTGTCTGATTTTGTGGTGGGAGCTATGTTTTTGTCGTCAGTGTACCCGAGCGGTCTAAGGGGGTAGACTCAAGTTTTACTGTGTTCGCACTGCGTGGTTTCAAATCCCAC